TGACCCAACAGACAAGGGTAAAGGCCTGAGGAAGAGGGTGCTGTAAACAGATATGGGGAGGGGCCCAGCCCCAGTAGTTGTCATACAAGGGGGTTCATGGAGAGACAGAGGGCTGACAGTGAGAGGATGTGGAGTCTAGAGGGGACTATGCTGGGAGAATAGGATGTTAGAGACTGTCTGAGAGCTGACAGTGAGAGGGCAGGCTGGATGAGAGCCTGGAGCTCAGTGTGAACCTTGAGACTGGGCTGGGAGAGAATCTCTCTCTCTCAGTGTGTGAAGCTAGGGTTGGAGGAGCTCAGTGTGTAAAGCTAGGATAGGAGCTCAGTGTGTAAAGCTAGGATAGGAGCTCAGTGTGTAAAGCTAGGATAGGAGCTCAGTGTGTAAAGCTAGGATAGGAGCTCAGTGTGTAAAGCTAGGATAGGAGCTCAGTGTGTGAAACTGGGATAGTATGGGAGCTCAGTGAGAGGATGTGATAGATACAGACTGGGAGCTCGGTATAAGAGAGCTCGGTGTGGGAGCTCAGTATAGGAGCTCGGTGTGGGAGCTCAGTATAGGAGCTCGGTGTGGGAGCTCAGTATAGGAGCTCGGTGTGGGAGCTCAGTATAGGAGCTCGGTATAAGATAGCTCGGTATAGGAGCTCGGTATAAAGAGCTCGGTGTGAGCTCAGTATAGGAGCTCGGTGTGGGAGCTCAGTATAGGAGCTCGGTATAAGAGAGCTCAGTATAGGAGCTCGGTATAAGAGAGCTCAGTATAGGAGCTCGGTATAAGAGAGCTCAGTATAGGAGCTCAGTATAGGAGCTCGGTGTTGGGAGAGGATGGGCCGAGCAGGCAGTGTCTCTGTGTCTCTCTGTGTCTGTGTGTGTATGCGGACGGCTAGTAATAAACAGTTGAGTGTGGCCTGTCAGTACAGCACACATTAGCTTCCCTCCCGCTGGCTTGCCCGCCCCGGACCCTCGCTGTCGGAGCCCGGTGGCCTCTCCCGGTCTGGCCTGTGTGTTCGGGCACAGTTACCGGCCGGTTCCTCGCTCTGTTTCTGTCACTCGGTGTCCGTCTATCGGGCGCTGCGCATGCGCGGTACTCACTGCCAGTCGCGGCTCTCTACGCATGCGCCGACCAAGGACAGCCTATTGAGAAACCACGCCTACAGCGACGTACGTAACGGGAAATCCGCTTCTACAAAATGATGGCTTCTGAATGCCAGGCTTTGCTGGTGACGTCATCCGGTGTTCTATCAAATTTCCCTACCCCGTTAGAAAACCCTACCCTCGTCACTTCCGGTGACGAAGCCGCACCGGACGTGACGTTGGGACGGGGGGTGTGCGCAGCCGCGCAGGCGCACACCACCTAGGTAGGGACTTTGAACAGCGAGGAGTCGCATAAAGGCGCAGTGCGCACGCGCGCCAAACTACTCCCGTCGGAGGTACAGCGCGCGTGCGCACTTGGGGACAGGGAGCGCTTCACAGACACCGCGCATGCGCACTATAGGGGTAGGGAAATCTGATGGCGATTAAGCCCTGTGAAATCTCCCTACCCCTATACTGCGCATGCGCGGACTGGACTCTGATCGTCTGAGTAAAGCTTCTCCCTGCTCCCAACACACTCAGCCATCCAAGGGGAGGGGGTACTATATTAGGGGGGGTTTCAGTGCATTATATTGGATAGTGGGGGGTTTTCTACATTATTGTATGGGGGGTCTGCGCCAGCGGGGGTCTGCTGGGCGTGGGGTCTGCGCTGTAAGGGGGCTGCGCTGTATGGGGGGTTTGCGCTATATGGGGGTCTGGCGCTTATATGGGGTCTGCGCTTGTATGGGGGCTCCACGGCATGGGGGGTCTGCGCAGTATATTGGGGGTATGCTGTATGGGTGTCTGCGCTGTATGGGGGGTCTGCGCTATATGGGGGGTCTGCGCTATATGGGGGGTCTGCGCTGTATAGGGGGTTGCGCTGTATAGGGGGGTTGCGCTGTACATAGGGGTCTGCGCTTTATGGGGGTCTGCGCAGTATATGGGGGGTCTGCGCTGTATCGGGGGTCTGCGCTGTATGGGGGGGGCAGTGTGTTAGATGGAGGGGCTGTTCGTTACATGTGGGGGGCTGTGCATTAGATGGGGAGCTGTACAGTACGTGTGGCCTGTGTGTGTGTTAGATGTGTACAACCCTAGTTTCACTGACAAATATTTATTTCCTAGATATCATATGCCAAAGCATGCTTTTTGCTATGAAGCCGCAGCCATCTAGTCACTCGCCAGAGAAGGATGAGAAACTGCACCCCAGCGAGAGGGACAGCCCCACATCTGCAACCAAATCCATCGGTCACCAAATTCAGTAATCTCCGTCTCTTTGTGCATTGTGTATGTACGGTACTCCCAATTCTTATATTTAATCCGGTGTGTCTCCCACAATCTTTGTGTCTGTCTGCATGCACTGTGTCTGTTATGCCAGTTACTCTAACTAGTTTATTTCTTTTTGTGTGTGTCACAGCTTTGACAAGCATGTTCTTCTATGGGACACGAAGTACATGAAGAGGAATGAAGAAGCCCATGTCTGATGCTCGTCTCCAGGGTGGAGTATTGAATTTATAACTAATGAAGTGGCATCTGACACATGACGAGCTGCTCCTGTTTGCACAGCAACTTCAACATTGTGTACTGTGATCACAGCATAGTTCAGAGGTAGGTAACCTTGGGCAGTCCAGATGCTGTGAATAACATCGACCATAATGCTGGCAAACCATTATGGGAGGTGTAGTCCAAAACATCTGGAATACCGAATGCGTATGAATGCAAAGTATGGTGTGTATGAATGGTCAGTAACAAGGGTTGAAGCCTTGACGTGGCGTTACTGCTCACATGTGTATTCATGTGCCAATTCAACCAATGTGAGTCACTGTAATACTTATAAGGTAACCAAAAGTACTGTGATTGTGGAGAATGAAACTCCTTATCCTATGAAATCTCCTATACACTGCTGACACTGTGACCGTATCACCTACACACTGTTTACCCTGTGACCGTATCTCCTAAACACTGCTCACACTGTGACCGTATCTCCTATACACTGCTGACACTGTGACCGTATCTCCTATACACTGCTGACACTGTGACCGTATCTCCTATACACTGCTGACACTGTGACCGTATCTCCTATACACTGCTTACACTGTGACCCAATCGCCTAAACACTGCTTACACTGTGAATGTTATTTTTTTCAAGTTTGTTTTAGTGTTTGCGGTTTCATTGATTTGTTAACCACTCTCCTCAATCTTCTGTTCTGTGTTTTCTTACATTTGTGGGAAGAACAAGGTGATCCTCTCAATTTTACACTCCTTTACTGATGGTTCCAGTGCCAGAGACAACCCCACCACCATTAACCTCGACCTGCTCAAACAGAAGAGATTACCTTCTTCTATAGAAAACGTCCTTATGGCTGTTTCGGAACACATGGTGCTTAAGACTCGTGGACCGTCCAGGGAAAGAGACCATTACATTATTAAGATACTACCTTCCTAATGCCATACAGCCTTTCTTTACATGTGATCATGTGATTGAACTTTCTCCTTCTTGGATACCACAGTGTGACTTTTCTTAACCAGTTTCCAAATTTGACTTTTATATTTTTTCCACTATACATATAAAGTCTAAAATGCATATTAATTTTGAAGAAATAAAGTATTTTGCTGACACCTTAACATGCGATTTGTGTTACTTAGCTACAAATAATACCATCACTAGCTGCGTTCCATTGTAGTTTATCAGAAACTGCGATATTTAACATTGCAAGATTAAGGGGACATTGGCACTGCACCCAAACCATTTAAACGAGATGACGTAAGCTTTTAAAGAGCAACTTCTTACTATGCTTATTGCTATCTTTTGAAAGTCATCACATTTATAAGCAAAACTATGCATAGGCACAGTGACACGAGGACCTATATGCACCATAAATTATCATATGTTGTTACAAAGCCATATTTCCTAACAGACCTGGATTGTTTAGTAGAGTCCCAGTTTGGGTTTGCTCTCCACTGTCCCACAATAATTAACAAGTTAACATTATTACAGACAAATTACTGTACATTTAAAAATTAAGAGTTTTAATTTTTTTTAAAGTGGCAATATAAAAAAGACAAACAATATTTAAATTTCTTATTTAACAAAATTGAAAAAGTATGTTGTCCATTAATTACATAATAATTGCACATGTGACCTAATATCAGATATTGTTATTGTCACCCCTCCCTTACTGTCACCTCACCTCATCACCCCTTGTCACCCCCCTCTTACGGTCACCTCACCATCACCCCCTCACTCTGTCATCCTCCTCACACTATGTCACCCACCCTCACTGTCACTCACCCTTACTGTGTCACCCATACTCTCACATTACGTCACCCCTCTCTTACTCTCTCATTCCCCCCTCACCTCATCACCCTCCCTCTCACACTATGTCACCCTCCCCACCCGGCCACCACTCTCCGCACTCTGGCACCTCCCTCCATGCACACCGTCAACCCTCAACACGCAGGCACCCTCCTGCTCTTTTACACTCACCCTGCCACAGTTACCCCTTTACTCACCCTGTCACCCCCCCAAAGGCAATCATTATACACACCGTCATAAAACATAGCTACGCTATAAACTCAGTGCCAAAGGCCAGTCAGTACACAAACATACACATGCTCAGAGAAACATACATACAGATACAAGGATACTCACTGTCAGATACACACACTCGGGTAGACAATGCAATGATGTAAACAGAGACTAGCTCTGTGTATCCAGTGCTGCAAGCTCCACCAGGGACGTTTTAGCCACGAGGCAAACAAGGCATTTGCCCAGGGCATTTGGGGCGGCTTTTTTTGCCGCCCCCAAATGCCCAGGGCAAATGCCTTGTGGCTAACTGACATGCTGGGCTGGCGGGAGGCATGGCGAGGGAGCACTTCCTCTGAGCTGTCTGCTCAGCTCCCTCGCGCGCCACAGAGTGAGGCTGGTAGCCGGAACATGACGTCATATTCCGGCTCCCAGCCTCACAATGCAGCGCGTGAGGGAGCTAAGCAGACAACTCAGAGGAAGTGCTCCCTCGCCAGCTGCCCGTCTGCCGCCCCAGCAGCCCGACTGGCAGCCCCACTAGACCCCAGGGAGATAGAGAACCCCCCAGCATTAGCAAAGGTAAGGAGGCTGGGGGTGTAAATTAAAAAAAAAATTTGAGTGTGTCTGTTAGAGAGTGTGAGTGTGTCTGTTAGTGTGTGTGTGTGTCTGACTGTGTCTGTTAGTGAGTGTGTCAGTTTCTGTTAGCTAATGTATGCATATCTGTGTGTGTGTGTGTGTGTGTATTTAGAATGCGGGGCGGGGGAGGGGGGCGCCTGAGTTTTGTCCTGCCTAGGTCAGCACAAAACCAGGATACACCACTGAGCTCCACCATCAATATATCTACAGCTTCTTATACACAAAGTCAACTGCTATTTTTTCTTCAATAATGGTGTTCTCCGTGGGGTCTCATGTATGAGTTTCGCCTAAGGCCTCGCCAAGTCTAGAGCCGACACTGCAGTACAGCCCTTCAGTATCCAATAGTCTCTTATGCAGGGACTCCTCAAAGCGGTTTGCTCCTTCCCTCTGGAACTGTAAGAATAAAAAAAATATTTACAACCCACCAAATCGTAACCAGAAAGCATATTACTTATTTTATATTATTAGAAATGACAATTTCAATGTTGAAGATTGGAGGCGTAGAACAGAAGGAATGATCTAGCGCTTTCAATTTTGATTAAAAGCATGTCTGTGCTTACAGTGTAAGCAGTGTTTAGGCGATAGGGTCAGAGTGTAAGCAGTGTATAGGCGATAGGGTCACAGTGTGAGCAGTGTTTAGGAGATACGGTCACAGTATGAGCAGTGTATAGGAGATTTCATAGGATAAGGAGTTTCATTCTCCACAATCACAGTACTTTTGGTTACCTTATAAGTATTACAGTGACTCACATTGGTTGAATTGGCACATGAATACACATGTGAGCAGTAACGCCACGTCAAGGCTTCAACCCTTGTTACTGACCGTTCACACACACCATACTTTGCATTCATCCGCATTCGGTATTCCAGAGGTTTTGCACTACATGTCCCATAATGGTTTGCCAGCATTATGGGAGATGTAATTCAGAGCATCTGGACTGCCCAAGGTTACCTACCTCTGAACTATGCCGTGATCACAGTACACAATGTTGAAGTTGCTGTGCAAACAGGAGCAGCTTGTCATGTGTCAGATGCCACTTCATTAGTTATAAATTCAATACTCCACCCTGGAGACGAGCATCAAACATGGGCTTCTTCATTCCTCTTCATGTACTTCGTATCCCATAGGAGAACATGCTTGTCAGAGCTGTGACACACACAAAAAGAAATAAACTGGTTAGAGTAACTGGCATAACAGACACAGTGCATGCAGACTTGCGTGCCACATACATACAGCAGACAGACACAAAGATTGTGGGAGACACACCGGATTAAATATAGGAATCGGGAGTACCATACATACACAATGCACAAAGAGACGGAGATTACTGAATTCGGTGACCGACGGATTTGGTTGCAGATGTGGGGCTGTCCCTCTCGCTGGGGTGCAGTTTCTCATCCTTCTCTGGCGAGTGACTAGATGGCTGCGGTTTCATAGCAAAAAGCATGCCATGGCATATGATATCTAGGAAATAAATATTTTTCTGTGAAACTAGGGTTGTACACATCTAACACACAGGCCACACGTACTGTACAGCTCCCCATCTAACGCACAGCCCCCAAATATAATACACTGCACGCCCACATGTAACAAACAGCCCCTCCATCTAACACACTGCCCCCCACATTTAACACACAGGCCACCCCAATATATTTCACAGACCACCCAATATACTGCGCAGCCCCCCCATATACTACGCAGACCCCCATATACAGCGCAGACCCCCCCATACGGCGCAGACCCCCCTATACGGCGCAGACCCCCATATATAGCGCAGACCCCCCATACAGCGCAGACACCCATACAGCATACCCCCAATATACTGCGCAGACCCCCCTATAGAGCGCAGACCCCCATATATAGCGCAGACCCCCATACAGCGCAGACCCCCCCATACAGCGCAGACCCCCCATACAGCGCAGACCCCCCATACAATAATGTAGAAAAACCCCCACTATCCAATATAATGCACTGAAACCCCCCCTAATATAGTACCCCCTCCCCTTGGATGGCTGAGTGTGTTGGGAGCAGGGAGAAGCTTTACTCAGACGATCAGAGTCCAGTCCGCGCATGCGCAGTATAGGGGTAGGGAGATTTCACAGGGCTTAATCGCCATCAGATTTCCCTACCCCTATAGTGCGCATGCGCGGTGTCTGTGAAGCTCTCCCTGTCCCCAAGTGCGCACGCGCGCTGTACCTCCGACGGGAGTAGTTTGGCGCGCGTGCGCACTGCGCCTTTATGCGACTCCTCGCTGTTCAAAGTCCCTACCTAGGTGGTGTGCGCCTGCGCGGCTGCGCACACCCCCGTCCCAACGTCACTTCCGGTGCGGCTTCGTCACCGGAAGTGACGAGGGTAGGGTTTTCTAACGGGGTAGGGAAATTTGATAGAACACCGGTCACATGACCTGACGGGGTGACGTGCGTTTTCGCGTGGGTTGAGCGTAGCGTGTTTATAAGTAACAGACTGAGGAGCATTCAGTGAGTAGGCATTAAGCACTTGGCTGTGTATCTCTCACTCCCTCTGTCAGGTCCAGTTAGTGTCACAAATTATCGAGATTTCACATTTTAGACCAAAATAGTAAACTTGGGTAAAAAAAGTCAGTTATTTTGGCAAAAATGTGAAATTCAGCTCGAATTCATTACATTCACACTTTAGTTAAAAGTCCTATTTGTTTGATTTTTGTATATTTTTTTTCCCCATTAATACCCCTTTGGCTTTACGACTTAACCCTTTAAGGACAGAGCTTCAAAAGCTCGTCTTTCACTTTATGACAACGGCATTTTTTTCATTTTTTGCTGTTTGCGTTCAACTGCAATTTGCATTTTACTAATTTATTGCACCGACACATATTATACATCGTTTTTAAAGGACAGAAAGGGCTTTAATTTGATGTAACACACACATATATAAATGCTTATTTATTATAAAAAAAAATACAGAAAAATGTAAAAAAATGAAATTTGGGTTTTTGTTTTTTTTTTTTACAGTTTTTGCAATAATAATGTGTGCATAATTAGTGCAGGTTAAGAAAAGTAATTAAAAATAAATTAATTTAGTTCTGATTTACAGAATATATAATGTGTCTGGGATTTTAAGTTTTTTTTGGGTAGTTACAGGTCACAAAGCACAAGGAGTAAAATAGACTTTTAATGTGGAGCGATTTTAGAATTTGGTATGTTTGTCTTGTAAGCTTAAAGGACCACTCTAGGCACCCAGACCACTTCAGCTTAATGAAGTGGTCTGGGTGCCAGGTCCAGCTAGGCTTAACCCATTCTTTTATAAACAAAGCAGTTTCAGAGAAACTGCTATGTTTATGAATGGGTTAAGCCTTCCCCCAATTCCTCTAGCGGCTGTTTCATTGACAGCCGCTAGAGGCGCTTGCGTGCTTCTCACTGTGAAAATAATGCTTTCCCCTGTGACCGGCTGAATGCGCGCGCAGCTAACGGCATTGGAGGAGGATCGGAGGAGGAGAGCTCCCTGCCCAGCGCTGGAAAAAGGTAAGTTTTTACCCCTTTCCCCCTTCCAGAGCCGGGCGGGAGGGGACCCTGAGGGTGGGGGCACCCTCAGGACACTATAGTGCCAGGAAAACGAGTATGTTTTCCTGGCACTATAGTGGTCCTTTAATAGCCATAAAAGAAAACAAAATTGTCACACAAAAGTATATATTTATATAAAGTAGACATCACGGGCTATTTACCTAAGATTGTTTTGACACTTTCTACCGCCAACCTCTGCTAAATATTGGAGTAAAATTGTGTTTTTTTTGGTTTTTGGCACACAAACTTATAACAAAGAAATTCTCATGTATATTTTGTAAAGTTGGTGTGTGCTATTCCTGTACAAAGTTTATTTTGTGTTCAGTTACATCTGCTGAGTAAAATGACACCCCCATTGTATGTCTTTGGCACTATTTCGTGAAGTTACAGTGCCATACAGGATACCTGTCCTTTTCAGTATTCACAGAATTTTGAGAGATGGATTTAATGAGCCTTAGCTTCCATTTGGGGTATTATAACAGTTTGACTGTTCAAAAAAAACCCCACAAAGGCCTACCATTTGTAAAAGTAGACACTCCAGGGTATCTCATAAGGTGCATATTGTGTCTTAACATACCCCCATTTTTTCACCAATATATGCCAAAGTATGTGGTAAAAAATTATTCTGTGCATTTGTTACATACGGATTGCATTTTTTTTTTTTTTTCAATTTTTTTTTTATAATTCTTTATTTTAACATTGTCATAACATACAGCTGTTATTCAATACTTAGGCTTGTGCAAAAGCCGGGTTGCATAATGTACATTGAGATTGTATGGGAACAGAAAGAAGATGGTTATTTGGTCAAATGTACATTCGATTCTTGGTGTGTCCGTTGTCGTGATTGCTTATGTTTTTCATGTGTCTGTTGTCTGTCAATGGTTTTTGTTATATGATTGTCTATCTTCGTCGTTATGTGGTCGTGTGATCCTGATCTGAGAGACGACTTGTAGGGTGGTACCCCTAATAGTCAGGGTGGTCCTGGGTCACTCTTATCTTGTCAAGTGGATTGTGGATTGTGGTCTAGAATGTGTGTTAGTGATGGACGATCGTCTCGTCCCTTCAGTGGTAGCTTGGTGTCTGTGTAGCGTTGATGGATAACATCTCTTGGTCATAAGGGGCTTGGTATTATGGGGTGGTGTCGTTGCGTTTGGTTTATAGCTGTTGACCCTTGCTCGGTGTGTTGGGGGTATGTGGTGTCTCTGCTTTTGTCCCCTTATGTCGTGGGGGCTTCTTCGCCTACTGTTGCTAGTTTTGCCTTGCGTTCTAAGGGGTGGGTTTGTCAGGGGGTAGGGGTGGTGGGGGGGGAAATGTTTTTCCTAGGCGTTCCTGTGTCGTTGTTGCAGTTCGCCTCCTCAGAGTCAGCTGTCCGCCTTCGTTTTGCTGTCAGGATATACTGGAGGTAGGGTAAGTGTGGGGCGGTGGTGAGGTATCTGGGATGGGGGGTTGGGAGAGAGGGGGGTGGCGCACTGCGGTGTTGTGTCAAACCTGTGTGGTGGGTTCTGCAAGCCATGGATCCCATATTTTGTCACAATGCGTTGTGGTTTCGTGGATGAGGGCTGACATTCTATCCATTGTCCTGGCTTCGTTCATTTTGCGTTTTATGTCAGTTAGCGATGGGATCGTGGCTACTCCCCAGTGGGCAGCTATAGCCCGTCTGGTGGCTAGGGCTAGTTTGGCTAGGA